TAAATTTTTCATTTTTTTTTTAACAACACGACGATGACGATGATGATGGATTTTTTTTTTTTTTTTTTGGTTTCTGGTGGTGGTGTAAGTTGTGAGAGCGAGACCCCATCATAATCTTCATTTTGTATCATTTATCATTTTTTTTCATTTCTGTTTTCTTTGGGAAACGAAAAAATTATCGTCCCTTCAACACATTTTGTGGTTGAATCTCTACTACCAAGCTATTTAGTTAGGTTTAAAATTATCTTATTGTTAGTAAGAAAAAAAAATTTCTAAGAACAAAAAACTTACAAATATCAATTAATTAATGGGGAAGTATACCAATGAAAAATGAATCGTCAATCTTAATGTGAATGAAATACCAGATGACAATATTCTTTTTCTCTGGAATTTTCTCTTTTTTAATTTAAAAATCGATAACGAAATTGTACAACAAGAAAAAGAAAAATCTGAACAAAAGTGAAAAGTGAATATTAAAAAAAAATCCAATCTGAATTTTCCCTGACAATAATTAAAATTATATAAGGGTAAGATTCCGAAAAAATGTCTATATGGTACGCGATTCATTTTAATGATTTGCGATTCATTTATTCAATTCAGAGGGAATAGGGGTTGTTTGTTGTTTCTGTCCTAAAGGACGACTAATTTTAATTACAATTATCTAATTGACTTTTTTCTCTCTGTCTCTTTGTTTCCTGTGCAAAAATATATAGAAAAAGAAACGTAAAAAAAGTCATATACGAAAAAAAAAAGTTAAAGGAGTTGTTTTTAAAGTACGGAGAGACAAAAAAATAATGAAAACTTGTTTGGCACTAATTAAATTAATTGTTGTAGTTTTTTTTTCGTTACTTGCTTGCCTGAATTTAAAAAAAAACTCGAAACTGAAACTATTTATGAAGCTGAATGATTGTCAAATTCAATGATTTCTTTCTTTCTTCTTTTTTTTTCTGATTTACATTCATTAATTTTTTTTTCTTTTTATATGTGAATTCAATTCAAATTGATCTTGGAAATTTTTTCCATTGTTTTAAGTTTTTTTTGTTTTGTTTTATTCGTCTTATATGTACTTATAGTTTGACATTTGTGATTTGGGTTGTGTGCCACTCCTTAGAATAATACATACCAAACACGCAAATCTTTTTTTTCAATGATAATGTGATGATGATGATGATGACCAGGATAAACCATATGTATTTGTCACCAGATCTCATACTTATATTTGATGATAGCCAATCAGCCATTTCACATTCACATCACACTCATTCTTTCATTAAAAGCAATAAACAACAACAACAACAAAGGTAGCCAGGAAAAATCCATCCTATATTTATAGATGACAGATGTGTGTGGGTGAGGTGTTGTCACCCAACCAATCAGCCAACCACAATTGTCATCATCATCATCATATCGTGATTGTTCACCAAAAAAAAAGCTTCAAGCTTAATTCGTCAATGAAAAAAATTTCTCACCGATTTTACAAACTGAATTCACTTAAAACATTAGTTAACTTCTGCTTTTTTGTGTGATAAGTAACATCTGCAGCAAAAAGGATGGGTCAAGTTAAATCCGGTTTAACTAGCAATCATATTTTATCATTATTAGTATTTTTTTGACCAATTTGCGAAAAAATCATAATTAGTATTGCGTACATCAATCATCATTTTTTATGATTCGAATTGAATTCTTTGGCAAAAATTTATTATTAACTTCATTCGATTTATTGTGCATTGATTGTAAATCGATTGATTCGAATATTTTCAATATTTTTTTTAATTTGTTTTATTTCTTTCTGTGCAATATTGAAAAAAAACAAATCAATTTTTCGTTGTGATTGAGGTGAAAAAAAAAATTTTTACCTTGAATGAACACACACAATCATATTGATTTATTCAGAAAATATCCTTTTTTTTGTATAAAGGTGTTCCTTATGTGTGTTGAAGGACGACAAACACTATTTGGGACGTGTTCAATTTCAATTTTTCAATAATCATTTTGTTTCATCATTTTGATTCATTGTTTTTTTTTTGTCTTTCTTCGATGATTATGAATTGAATTGAACTCAAACTTTGTTGTTAACTGTTGATTCTCTTTATACGAATTTGTGAATCATTTTTTTTTGATTACGTTCGTATTGTTGTTTGCCATCGCACAATGCTATTACTTTGTTTTTTTTTAGCTAAATATTAATTGATTTTATTATCATCATTATCATCATTATTGTCTTTGTTGTTCATTTCATTTCATTATTGTTTCTCATGATAATGATTATTATTATTTTAGTACTATGTACGAAGGCAATAAACACACACCTCTTATTGCCTCCGCCTATATTCGACAATTGAATTTTTTTCCATTTCTTTTTTTTCATTGTTTATTTTTTTGTTTTTGTTTATTCCATTCTATTGTTTATATGAATCATTATCATTATTTGATGATGATGATTTTTTTTCCATCAAGATTCAATTGGATTTTTTTTTCATTGCTTGACAATTAAATATTGGTGCAAACATTGAAAAAAGAAAAAGAAAAATCGTCAACTTTGAATCTTTTTTTTCATTTCATTGTTTTTGTTGCAAATTAATGAATGTTTCAATTGCAACATTCAATTTGGGAAGAACAAAACAAAAAAAACCGATCGTGATATTGACTAATTATAAAAAAAAAGATCTTTCATTCAGTTTGTATATGTACCCTATACTTTTGTTGTGTCGATTTTGTCAATTCTATCTGTGTGTATCGTTTTTTTTGTTTTGTTTTATTTTTTTTTAAAATTTAATTAGCTTTGAATTGAATGGCTTTAAGGTAATAATGTGTGTGTGTGGTTATTGGACTTGGATATACACGGTTGATCGGTTATTCGATTGATTCATTGACTGATTGATTTTTTCATTTACTGTTGATTTATTCTTCATTTTTTTTGTCTATTGTTGGCAATGCTTTTGCCAAGTTTTTAATATATTGATGAATAAATATGAAAAGCGAAGAAAAAAATCATTTCCCATTATTCATTTTTCTAATATTTTCTTCGTTGAAAATGTGGTTCATCATGTTGATGATCAGGTGAGGATCATCATCATCATCATTTTAATTAATTAATCGGTAAATGAACCGGGGGAGATTCAATTTTTTATGGGCGAAGTTTTCTAGTTTATTTCTTCGTTCAACAATATTTTTTTCACAATTAGTTTATCATTATTGGATAAAGTGTAAATGAGTATTACTTGTGTAAAGATTGTGTATGTTTTTAAGAAAAAAAATAGAATCTTTTCTTAAATAGTTTTTCCAAATGCAAAATTCTATAAGTGTTATGATCACCCCACAAAAAACGGCCAGATTTTTAGTTTCTCGGTCAATTCTATTGCTTGTTTTGGCTTTCGTCTTTCGGTTAACATCTCAATTATGTTTTTTGTTGAATGATTCCGATACAGCAACATTGTTATCGCATCGATAATAATTTGTCTAGTTTTTTTTTTTGATTCATTCGTTCGTTTAGCACATTCACGTTTCTGACTAGCAAAGCAAAACAAAATTATTTTGCAGATGCTATTGATCCGATTAGCTGTTTTTTTTGTTTCTGCTTATTTTTGATCACGATTTTTCAATTAAAAACGATCGAACAAACGATAGGGCGCTTTAAAATCTTTCAGTTTTTTTTTTGTTTTTGGTGTTCAACTATAGACCATGTCAGCATGGTGTATTTTATGTTGGTGGTGGCTAAAAAACAAATTGAAACAAAAACGATTGACATGTCTTTAGATTTTAGATATAAATATATAGTGATCGATAGTAATCAATTATAAGGTAAAGAAAGAAAAAAAGTTGTTTTTTTTTTATTTCTGTTGCTGAACAAATCGAATCAATCGATGAAGATGTCATCTCATTTTTGATTCTTTTTTACTATAAATATTACAATATGCAATGAATGGAATGAAAAATGATCTTTGATATTTTAATTTACAAAACTTTAAACAATTTCAATTCCAATTATTCACATTTTTTTTTGCTTTTTTTTGGCAAACAGGTAGCAATAATAATAAAGAGAATACAACAAAAAATGGTCGAAATTCTGGTCAAAATAATCATGATACAACAACGATGAATAATAGCCGCCGTAATAGTCAACAACAAAAACAACAGCAAAAATCATTACCAAAATTGATTCCATTATCCGAAATGTCCATACGAACAACTAGTCCAACATTGTCCGATACATCAATCGATACATCATCATTATGTAATAATCGTCATAATACATTTAATAGTATAATGGATAAATATCATAATAATAATAATAATAATGATTCAGCATCATCGACAGCAAATGATCTTGATATTTGTATGTCACCAGATATACTTTCATCTGATGATCATGATCATGATATAAACATGTCTAATAATAATGATGATAATCTAATCGGCAATAATCATAATCATTCGATTAATAATAATAATCATCATCATCGTAATGGTGGTACATCAAGTTCATTATCACGTCGTAGTTCTTCACCAAGTATGGCCAGTGATTGCGGTAGTGATGATGAAGAAAATTCACGAGATAGTAAACGTCGTCGTACACGTACGAATTTTAATGGCTGGCAATTGGAAGAATTGGAAAAAGCATTTGAAGCAAGTCATTATCCGGATGTGTTTATGCGTGAAGCATTGGCAATGCGTTTAGATTTGGTCGAATCACGAGTACAGGTACAGGTGCCATATAAATATATTTTTCATTCTTTTTAACTTTTCTTTATTACAATAAACGAATTCCCGTACAAATGACAATTTAATTAACCACTGTCTAATTCTATTCATATATTATTATATATAATTATTTTCAATGTAATCAGATTGACTCATCATCATCATCATCGTAATCATGATGATCATCTTTGATAAAAATCATGAGATATTTTGGAAATTAATTCAGGTCAACCAATGATATTGTTGATGATAATTTAATGATGATATTATGTTTGTTTGTTTGTTTGTTTGTTGATTTCTAAGAAAGAAAAAACTTGATGATTGAGGCTTGAATATTATCATTTTCCACTTACCTTTACAATTTTATTCAATTCAATGATGATTCAATTGTGGAATGTGTACATTTGTATTTCGTTTTTTTTATTTTGTAGATTGTAATTACATTGTTATTGATTGTACTATTAAAATGCGATCAACTTTTTTTTTGTACAACAAACAAATAGACACAAAAATGAAAAACCTCAGCCAAATAGTTATATGTCAAATTCATTCTACCTTGAATCGATATTTGTCTATGGTAACATTGAAACCAGAAACAAAATCAATGATGATGATGATAGAAAATGACTTTATTTTCATTTTATACAATATATAACTCTATTTCTTTTAGTTTGTTGTGTATCAATCAGTTTTTTTTGCTTTTCTGGCCACTGATTTTGAATTGAATCTCATTCTTAGATCAATTTCTTTGCATTTTTTTTTCTCGATCGATTGATCGATGTGTCCACCACACCACATACATTTCTGGTGTGTTTGTGTTTGATATTCCGTTTATTCCAATCAATTGCATTCATTTGTGTCGGTGAGTTACAAAAGTCGCGACAGGTCGCGCCACAAAAAAAAATATGAATTGAATGAATGACACCACCTACTTTTTACCAAAGAATTTTTTTTTCATCTATATTACCTTTTCAATCTAACCGAATGATGACTGATGACGATGATGATGATGATGTTGAAGTCTGACAAACATACTCGAATAACTTAATTCATAAATACAGATAGATTTGTGATTTGATGGATCGATCTTTAATTTCTATTTTCAAAGTCACACAATAACAATCAAACATGGACTAACAAAAAAAAAGAGAGTTTCTTTTTTGTTTTGTCCCTCCTGTCGAATTACACAGCAGCAGCAATAATGTTGTAGTTTTTTTTCATTTGTGTTTGATTTTTGTTATCAATTCGTTACTTGAACTGAAAGATTTGAAGAAAAAAACACCGCGATACTAATAAGAGATCGAATATATATATTTTTTTTCGGGTATAATTCAATACGAATCCAATCAATCAGAGCTAAAAATTTAACTGAAATAAATTCGGGGAAAGAATCAAGAGACACGAGTCCCATTGATGGTCATTTTTTTGTCATTGCTTCAATAAGGGTGAAAACATACATACATGGGTCATTGTCATATGATCGATTTGTTGTTGTTATTTATGTCATTATCATATATACACCTAAACAAAAGGTAGAGGGCAAAATGTTTGTTTCTTCTTGTTATTATTATTATTATTGGTCAGAGGGCATGATCATTTCAATACATTTTTCGTATCAGATCCTAATATGGTGTCAAATATATGGTTGTAAAAATATAAAGGCGAATCGAATTAGCGATTTGAATATATTTTTGGTAATGATGATGATTGATAAGGATTTTTTTTACTTTATTGACCAAAGAAAAGAATATAGATGTTTTTTTTATTCACAAACCAAAAATTTCGAATTCATTCACTTTATCTGTCTAAATATTATTTTTCGGTGTGTGACAGAGAGAGAAAAAAATGAACCGTAAATTTCATTTGATTAATTCATAGAAAAACAACAATAAATGATGCATGAAAACATGTTACGAAATAAAAATGTTGAATTTTTTAGAAAAAAAAATTTCAAAATTTCAAATTAAAAAAGATCGATTTATTTTTTCTGTAACTATTCAACTGATTTATTGGAAATACAAAAATAAAATTCCTGTTAAATGTTTGGCCATAAATCAACACAATACATTATTATTTGCCTCGAAAATTATCATTCGAAGCAATGTTTTTTCTTTTGTTTCAATAATAGGCGAAAATTGTTATTTAAAAAACAAAACGATGATAATAAGTGTATGGTGAACATTGATAAACATTATAGTCGACGACGACAATAATCATATGAGAACAAACAAAACAAAACAAAAACCTATTGGAAAAAATTGATTCAAATTATATGGTAAATTTTCATAACAAAATTTGAACCTTTTTTTTCGCTCGTCCTGATCATATTTGAGACAGGAATTATTGCCGATTGGATTTTTCTTTTCATCATTAAAAGACGAAAGAAAAAAAATGATTTGCATACATTTCCAATTTACAAAATTTAAACATTCGTTTCATCTTATTTTCATATACAAACAAATAATTATCGTACAGAATATGCAGAAGAAAATTCATGTTTGTGTGGAGTGTGAACAGCCGGTTTTTTTGTTTGATTTGCAAATTGATTCATGTTTTTCAAGTTTAAATTCAGATTTTTAACCAGAAAAATTTTCTTGTTATCAATATGATGTGTGAATAAGATCATACTAAATAATCTGTTCTTGCATTATGAACTAACGACAATTTGCACATCCAATTTTCACCTTTGAAAACTTTTGAATGAATGAATGATCGATACACATCAATATCGTAAGGTGTTGATTGCATGCGTATGAATGATTGGCACCGGTCAAACTGAAAGCAAGATGTTTTTTTTCGATAAATTTCACCTTTGTTTTGTTGTTTATGATGATGATGATGCCTGACCTCTTTCTTTCGATTTATAGATGATTGTTGCTTGTTTTTGTTTTACCAATCAAACATTCATTTTTGGATTCCGATTAGAATCAACTGCAAATGTAAATATTTGCTTAGCACATATGACATGCCCATAATATATTTGCATTCGTTATGATTTTAGATCGATGATGATGATGATCATCATCATGATCATCATGATCGTACAGTTCGGATGAAGATCGAAGTCCATTTACCTGTCTATTTCGTTTTTTTTCTTATCTCAAAAATTCATTCAATTTAATTCAATTCAATTCAATCAGTTGTTGTTCAATGTTGTTAGTCATTTTTTAATGATGATGACGGAATGAAAAACAAAAACAAAAAAATGAAATGAAATTTCAGCCTAGCCTGATGATGTTGATGATGTTGATGATGCTTAATGACAATCATAATGATGATTTATTATCGAAATTGTTGTTGAAAAAAATGAAATAAAAGTATAATGATGATGAAAACAGGAGAATGAAAAAACAATGACGCATCTACTACTTGAATGTTTTATCCATTGGCAAATAGCAGTAGTAGCTATTATGATAATTATCGTGGCAAACGGAAAAAACATCTTGATGATGATGATAACGATGTGATCCACCCAATCAAATATGTACATGCTACAAAATAGACGAATTGATTTAAATTAAAGTTGATTAATTTAATCTTTAATTGATTATTATGAATTTTTATCATCATCATCATCACAACCCTAATAGAAAATAATTCGACAAAAAAAAAGATTATTGGCTTGAAGCAAGCTTAATTTTTTTTTCTTTATAATTTTGGTTGATCGTTCAGCAAATTGAACTAATCATCAACTAATCGACGACTAATTGGATGAATTCAACGACTGATCATTGATGGATGACTGACTGACTGACTGACTGATTGATACAATCAATTTAGTCTATCCTGAGAAATTAGCTAAAACAAGGGCGAAGCAAGACATATTTTCTCATTTCTTGAGAATGAAATCAATTTAACCAAAAAAAAATTATTACGAATACTAACCATTAGAAAAGACATGCAGAGATTTTTGAAAAAACCAACAACGAAAAAATTGAAATACAAGCAAACAATTGTTTTTTACGTTGTATACACCGCACTCGAAAAAAAATCAAGCGACATAATACAGCATCGGAAAGAGAATCTCATTGAATTTAACGAGCAAAAGAGATAATTAGCCTTAAATGATGATGATGATGATGATAGCCACATGGTTTTATTTTGCGTTAAAATTCTTCTTCTTTGTCTTGAACTCATAATTTATTTTGCTCATTTCTCTTTTTTTCATCGTTTTTCTTTCAAATGTCCAAGCCCTATTATTAGCAGCAATTACACTCATCATCATCATCATCATCACAATTTTAACTTGAATTCTTTTCTACCTTTCTATTTATGATGAAGTATACATTGTTTCACAGTGGCGATGTGTTTGCAAACAAACAAAAAAAAATTTCCTTATAAATTTTGCGTAGAAAAATGGCTCTAATCTTCTCAGCAGCAGCAACAGCAACCTTTACCTTGGAATATACAGTGAACATAGAGATTTTCGTTTGGAAGGCATCAATTTTCATCATTAATTTGTTGTGTACTCAAACTATCATCATTATTATTATCTGGTTAGATTTATATTCAATCATGGATTCAGGTTCCAGAGTCTAGACCTAATTAATTTTATTCGACTTTAAAGCGAAAGACGTGCGTCTTTGTGTGTGTGTGTGTGTTTGTGAATTATGTATGTATCTGAATCATCGTCTTCAAAATAATAATTATTATTATTTAACTAATTGAAAGTCGAATTTTCTTTTCTGTTTTTATTTTGTGGAATCAATTTTTTTTCTTAAGTTTTCATCAAGACACTGTTTTTGATGATGATAATTGAGCTATGACGGTCGACCAATATACCCTACCCAAAGATTATCAAACGATTATCATCATAATGATAATGATGATGATAATAATGATGTTGAAAATTGATTCCCATATGAAAAGCCCTTGCGGCTAGATACTCAATGATCTAATTTTTTGTTTTGTTTTTGTTTTCATCATCAAACCAACAAAAAAATTGATTTAAATTATCGTATATTGAAAATTTAAATTGTCAATATATAAATATAAGTTAA